TGACTCTTAAGATTGGAGAGCAAATAATAAAAGCAATAAGTTATCTTTTTTTTTTTTTTCATGGACTGGCAATATAATAAGATGGAAGAGGTGCACAGGTATTTCCTGATATCATAGGAATGATGAGGACTCGCAGACCTTGGACTCCGTTGCAAGCTTTGCTTCTGCTTTCTAAGACAAGAGGAAACTCTGCTCAGTTCTCTGAAAAAGGGGTTATAAGTATGAGCTCTTCAAGACAGTACTCAGGGATGGGTGAAAGGGGCACCTGCACTGGACACCAAGTTAGAAGGGGCACTGGAATCACTCCCCACCCTCTTAGAGTCCACAACCTGGCAACATTGATATGCCAGGAATTCCAAAACAGTTCTTGACTGGTGTTGCTATAAGAGCAACAAAGCCGGAGCGGCAGAGCATGTGCAGAGGCAAAAGCCCTATTGGGACTTGTAATCGGTCCAGCTCGCTACCCTTGGGAGTCTGGGGCTCTGGGTGACTGGGTGGGTTGAACCAGTCCTTCCCCTGCCTCTATACTGTGTCCAAACTCATGCCTGCCATGACTTAATGGTATTTTAGAATTATTGAGTTTGGAGGCTGCCAGCTGACACAGGGTCGCTTCTTCCATGATGTTTCAGCACCATGTTTGATTTCCCAGGCCTCACTGGGTTAGTCTCTATGTGAAGAGTCACCTTTCTGGGATAACCACCCCACTTCATGTCTTGAGGGCAATAATCGTGACCTCCTGCCTCCCCCACAGTCATGCTCATGCCTTGTGGGTATTATTGGACATCACCCCTCTGAGGTGCCTCATCTTAAGACTGCATCAGGCCTAGCCTGGCCTTCAAACACTTGTCCGGTTTTCAGCCTCCTCGGCCTACACCCCCTTTCTTTAGCTGGTTCTTCTCTGCTCAGGCTTGCTACCCTCAGGCCCAGCTTGTAAGTTCCAGCTCATCTGCTCAATGTCCACAAAACAAACTCAACATAGGCATCTGCCTTCCTTAAATTTTCTTCCCCAAATTTTTGTTGCAAATATCTAGTTAGTCTAATAAAAGATATCACCTCCACCATGAGTTTTGACTCCTCTCCTGATTAGCAGGCAGCTTTGGTGTTGGTTGCTGCATTCTCTTGAAGAGGTAGTGCCTCTGACTCATTTAGGTAGACCTACCCTCTAATATCCCCAGCTCTGACCGTTATTTCTATCTTTCTCTTCCACTCTCAATCTCTTAACAGGGTTAGGGTCCATTGTAACAGGACTGCTTAGAAGTTCCCGCTGTGAATAAGGTTGCTGTCCCCCAGCTCCCTTCCCCCCTGCCCCCACTCTTGGACCTGTGCCCTGTAACCTGGATGCTCAGAACCCATGCCCCCTGCCCTACACTCTCCGTCCTGCTCTCAGAGCTTGCACCCCCATTCTCAGAACCTGTGCCTCTCACCCCTCCCTCCTGCAGGGTTTGCCCCGGGTGCCAATTCAGCTCATTATGCCATTGCTTCAACAGACTGTTTAGTTGTCTTGATCCTGAGGGAATGGAGCTCTGAGGGGAAAAAAATACTATACCCTAGAGAAGGATGTGGTTTGAGACATACCTCCCCAAATCTTACATTTCCTTAATATCTTTCACTTGGGCTTCCATCTTTGGGTTCGTATCAGGCCGCATTCCTTTTTTTTTCGCTAATCATCTTGCCTAATACTAGGCCTAGATTGTTTGTCTGAGCTAATTTGCATAAAATTTATCAGCATCCTGACATACCATTGGACTTTTAAGCTGTTTTTTTGTATTTTCTCTGTTTCCTAGTTGTCGTATGAACTAGGATGGTACTAATCATAGTTGTATCAGAACCTAGATGGTACTGATTTTAGAAGATTCCATTTTTTCATCTATAAGCTGTTCCCATTTAGGAAAATTGTCCAAATTTCAGAAGATCTTGATCTTATCATCCTTCTTCAACAAATATGCTGAAATGTGTGTGTAATTCTATCTATCTATCGAGAGATATCAGTTATCTCTCTCTCTCTCTCTCTCTCTCTCTCTCTCTCTCTCTCTATATATATATAGGGGTGTCTCTCTCTCTCTCTCTCTCTCTATCTATCTATATCTAGATATAGATATCTAGATACATATAGATAGATACATATCAATGATACAGATATAGATATATATTATCTGCTGAGGGAAACTGAAAGTAGATTCAAAATGTAATGCTATCTGTATACTGTTCTGCCATGCAGCTTTAACTCATTTGTATCAGGACTTGAACAGAGATGAGGGAGCTAAAGCCTAAAGCAGCAAAACAGTAGCACTACAGAAGTAGGTTGCAGGAATGATCCTATAAGTTAGATGAGTTCAAGCCACTAGCAAAACTCCCAGTATCTTACAATTCTAATAAGTTTTGAAATGTACCAGTTATGTATAAACGATGTCATACCCATGTCATCAAGTTCCAAAATTGAATGTCTTATGTTTCTCTGTAATGGTATGAATAAATTCCATTTTGCATTACTGTATCACCATTCTATCCTGTGTATTTTAGGCTGATTATTTCACTCTTTATATTTTTAAAATCCCTTAGCTTTCAGGCTCATTCTTCCCAAAGCAATAATTATCTAGAAACGCTGTGCTTCTTGTTGTATAAGTAGTAAATAGGCATTTTTTAAAATTTGGGTCCTACTGGAGATTAAATGTTTATATTGTAATTACAAAATAAAAATAACAAAGAAATAAAAGGCACTTTCAAGGTTAAACTTAAACCATGTCAGTGGCATGTCAGAGTTCTGTTGCTAATCACAACTACATTGTTGCTTTTTAAAAATGTCCATTAAACAATTGCTCTTACCCCCAAAATGAATTGTTATAAGCTGATAAAGTTAAGTTCAAAACATGCTAAATTCTAAGCTTGGAAGCAAATTCAAGTTACTTCCCTAATTAGTAACCATGTGCCATTGAGGACTTTTAAATAGATGGATTAGCATTTTGGAAATCTGAACAATTACCCTGTCCTGCTAAGAACTGATAATAAGAAGTTACTGCTGATCTTTGCTCTGTAAGGCATCATGTAGTTTTCAGAGCAAGCATCTGTTTTCATCTGTAGCTTCAAAAACTGCTCAGGTTGCCACTATATTTCCTATGGGACATTTTCCTGAAACAAGGGAATTTTTAAACTGTACCCTAAAGTTATTTTCCCTCTTCAAACAGTTTTATTCATCATATTAAATGTTGTTTCCTTAAGAGTCAGAAGACATCATAAAGAAATTAAGTCAAGTAAATAATGTACTATCATGTATGATGGCAACTCCCATTAACAAATGATTTCACTTCAGCAATCTTGGGGGAAAAAAAAATATATATATGTTCCAACAGAACTTTGAACTCAATGTAATTGCGATTAGCAACATAACTCTCTATATACTATATAGTCTGATTAATACAGGCAAAAGAAAAAGGCTTAGTGATCTCTTGAAAGTTTATCAGAATACTTTTCCAGTGCAGTGGACACATATCTTTTTTCCCCTTGGTTTCAGTAATCTCCAGTAAGATGTCTGTATCTTTAGGTAAAGCAGTTTAAAACTGGCAACCATGGTAAATATATTAACTACTGAATGGAATTTTAGGGTTTTTTTTTCTCATGAACACTGCACCCTGAAGGTTTTCCAGTGTGCAGTTCCCTCAGCGAGATATGGTCTGGAGCTTGTCTAAATGTGATTCATATTTAGCAAGACATTGCAGCTACCCTGATTAGGAAAGTCAGCAGCTACAGTTCGTTAAGTGAATGACAGGCCCTGACAACACTCCCATTTCAAAAGGCGCTTAGCTAGAAGGATTTTGTTAGGAGAAAGTGCAGAAGAGGCATAAGCCATTTTCTCTATACTCTCCATTATTCTGTAAACATTTAACTTGTTCATAGATATTAAGAAAGAGGAAGATAATTGTTAACTGTTGACTATTACCTTACTTCTCCTGCAGAGACCCTGTCTTATTTTAGTACTGTCTGCTAAATCTATGCAAGTCATTTATTGCATATGATAAGTATACAGTAAACTGTTCTTACAAACAATATTACATGTTAAATATACGGCACAGGTCAAGGTTGATAATGTACTGTTAGATTTAAGTCTAGGTTTATACTACAGACTGCTGGCATTGCGCTTGTGAAAAGGCATAATAAATTGGGATCTGTTAATGACATAACTGTATTTTAAAAAGCTTCTATGATAGAGTAGTTTCAACTGGCAGCATTAGCATAATTTGTTTCACCTGGAAGAATGGGGGGCAGGTAGGGTTTGGCCAGCCAAATTGAAGTTTTGTTTCATAGTAGCACAGAAAAAGTTAACCAGGTGCTGTGGGCTCAGACAGCCCTGTTCTGCTATATCTATAAATATCAGGATTGGATGGAGAGGCAAAAGGGGTGCTTTAGTTGGGAGCTGAGCAAGAAGGAGAATAGATCTCCAGCTTGCTTTCTGTGAAAGAGACTTGCTCAAGGGACTTCTGTTTCCCCAAGGAAGAAAGATGTATTTTAAGACTATTGTTTGGACTAGAGGCTGTTCTTTACCAGATTCTCGGAGGGCAAATAGACTTGACTCTTTAGATTACCTGCTGGTGCTTAATATGTCTGTGTCTGTGAGTCCCATACCTAATATGGGTAATGATTAAATAAAACACCTTGTTTCCCTTTCCCTTGACTGGGATTTTAGGATGTCTTGTGTGAAGCCCAGAAGAAATCATATCCCATAGCAATCCCACTTAAGAGCATTTTCCCACTATAGCATACAATGACATAGTTCTATCAGCAAACCACGTTTAACACAGAGCTCCTACAAGGCATGTCAATTTGTTTCTGAGTAGAGCTTGTTTGTACATTTCAAATTTAAAAATAGCCTTATATTTATTTGAAAATATTTTTTTCATGAAAACGTGTATTTTTAAGATCTATATATGCCAGAACCCAACCAAAACTTCTTTTTGTTTGTGTGCCTCATTTTAATTTCCCTCCCCTCTTCCTTTTTTTCTTTTCAGAGACAAATGGAAAAAAAGAGGAAAATAGAAACGAAAAAGAACCCCAAACTTTTGAAATGCGTGAGCAATCACTGTGATTACTATATTTACCTGAATCAAAGATGACTTCAAATTTAAGACAATGCCACCAATAATTAGAAGTGTGTTACAGGTTTTGTTACCTCTCCCCTACCCCTCAGCATCCCCCTCTTCCCCACCCCCCAGTTCCTCATCCTACCTGCTGCTGCCTGGCCCTGCTGCCACTTGTCCCCCGGCTGTTTATCGCCCTTTGGCACTTACTTCCCTGCCACCATTTACCATGTGGCAGCTCTTGCCAGGTAAAGCCAGCTCTAACCCTGGCCAGGTAGCATGGCAGTGGCCAGGTTGGGGTCGGGGCCAGAGCTAGAGCTGAAGCTGGAGCCACAGCAGCTCCCCAGTCCCTGAGTGGTCTCCCCAGGATCTGGCTCTGGTTCTGGCTCTAGGCCAGCTGCTGAAGTGGCAGCTCCAACTCCAGATCTAACTCCCCTTCCTCTTGAGTCACCCCACCATGCATCTTTGGGCACCACACTACATGGTTTTCCCTTCATTCCTTCCCATTATGCACTGTATGGTCTCCCCCATGTTGCCCACTCTTGCACTACATGGTCTCCCCTTTATTCCCCACCCCAGCCCCACACGGTTTCCCCCATGCTTCCCCTCCCGCACTGAGTGGTCTCCCTTGCACTTCCCTTCCTGCACCATGCCTTCTCCCCTACACTACCCCACTGCATGCCCTTTCTACCACTGCACAAGCCACCTCAAACCACCCTGGTCCTAACTAGGCTGCAGCAGCACTGGCCAACTGCTTTGCCTCCAACCCTGGCCCTGAAATCCAAGATGAAATTGTTTTTTTTTCCCCAGCTTAAGTAAAAATGGTAAATGGTAGAACGGTCAACATAACACCTTGACCTAGTCACTACCCCTTTGCTCAGTCCATCTCTCTTGATAGTTTTCTCATATCCTTAGGCAGCTTCAAATGGACATGGAATAAAACTGCCAAAATGTGGAAACTCATGAAAGGGATCTTTTCTTTTTTCCTAGTGGACATATAAAGACAACAGTTCTTGCAGTGCCAGTCTGTCCCCTGGTTCTGAAATATCAGTGACTCAGTAAAATCCATGATGACTATGTCTCCCTTACTCTCCTGAATCCCATATCCCATTGCAATCATTGAGAGGTGGCTATTCAGTACCTTTCAGAATCAGGCTTTATACAAAATACTTGGCTCCATAGAGTTATTGGCTTTGTGAAATCAGTGTATTTTAGAAGATGGAATCAGTGACACAGAACACATGGGCCTCTTTTGAACCGGCATGGCATTGAAATAGTTGATAGACTTCAATTTCACTTGGCTTAATTTTAAATATCTTAGCCTCTTTCCTTCTCCTGGACTGCAGTTTTTTGTTTTTGTTCTGTGTGAGTTCAGTACAGTTCAAAAGAGGAGTGGGGTGATGGAGATGCTTTGGAAGAAAAATTAGAGAAGCAAGATAAAAGAGTGGCAAACTAATTCATTAAAAAAGGTTCCTGAACTTGGTCATCTCTCTTAGTCTGTGTTCAGGCAGAAAGTTCTGAATTCCTTTCTTGAGTTAAATTACACAAGGAGGCATGACCGCCAGCCCAAATCATTCTGTACAGAACTGTTTCTGCAAATACTGTATCTCTTTCAGGAAAGGTTTTTGGGGTTGTTTTTTTTGCCCCATGTAAGGGAATCAGTTTTTTGGTTTGCTACCTGGGGTCTCTATCCCCTCCTCTCATTCATAAAGGAGGATGAACAGAAAAAGTTGAAGGCTGGTAAGTTGTTGGTTGCATGACACGCCTGCTTGCTGCATCTGACAGATGGTGTGTTTTAGCACTCACACCCATGTGCAAAGTTATACACGGGAACAATTAATTTTAAGATTACAATTCCATTATAGGGGGCCAGTGACATAAAGCACAAGAACAATTTTACTGATATGCTATGGTAGAAATACAGCAGTCCTGTAACTTAAAGTTTGCTTGTTTATATAATCCATAGATCTGACAAAAGCCAGTTTGCAGATTTACGTGGGGTTTTTTGTTTGTTTTTCTGTTTTTACAGTATACGCTTTATGTGAAATATATGCAAGTCATCTGTTGTATTTCTTTCCTGTTATTTTATAACCCTCTTTATTTATTGGTAATTCAAAGCTGCTTGATATTTTGAGAGCTTGCTTTTTGTCCTATGGGGGAAAAGCCAGTTGACAAAAAGTCACATTCAAATTGTCAGACAGGTCTTTCACCTCCTTAGTTAGAAACGTATTCATGTTTATCTCAGTATGTTTCAGTTTCTCTCTGAATCTTATAATTACAGGGGATAGATGATGCTGCACAAAGCAATGATTTTATTTTAAAGGCTACTTTTTTCTGTAGAGTTAAGGAAGGTCCAGCATCTGTGTTTTATATGTACCACTTAGAATTCCACAAGCACAACCTGGCCTTCATCTACTATAGATGCAACTCTCTCCCATTGGAAATTCCTTTGGAAAAGGTAACATTTTCTTTTCAGTGAATGCCTGCTGGATAGAGTTGCAAATATATATTTTTTTTGTTGGTTGTCTTTTCAGGGAGGGATGAGGGAGGGGGGAGAGAGAGCTCTTTTTCTCTAAAATGGTATCACCATTAATCACAATAAAAATACCTATCTAAATGAATGACTGGAAAGTTCTCAGATGTGGACTATTGCCAGTGGGTTATATTGGGCTTGCCCCAGTCTTGGCAAAGTAAGGTAAGTGTTATATCTAACAAGTAACCTTAACCTGGTAATTATTTTAATGGGAATTCTCAGACATTCATAATTTTAATGGGACAGTCCTAGTATTTAAGGGACTGCCTTAGTTGCTTTCAATTCTCTTTAATTTCCCTTTTGACTGTTTCTACTAGACATTACTAGCACTGCTGGGATAGCTGCTGAAGTGGCCTAATTAAATTTTATATGCGAGAGAGAGGCTACTACTTTCCCACTGATGTAAATTTGTCAGGAGTTGGTTGCTTCTCCAGTATGAAAAATGCAGTACTGGCTCTGGTTACTGCAAATCTGACAACCCCATTAGTATCAAGGGCTACTATTGATTCTTTATTTTATCAATATTTTAATCTTTAATACAAACCATGTTGCAGTTCTGGAAACCACAGAAGAAAAAGCAGACAGGATGGCTCCATGGGGACCCAGTATGGTAGCTAAACGAATTCAAGCTACATTTTATATACTAGCTAGCTAAAATGAATGAATTGAATTACAGGAAATATAGACCACACGGTTTCTTATTTTCTCACAAACTGAGCAATGCTCCTCCTGATCCCCTGTGCCATATCTACTTCTACCAAACTGCATACAAAGATATGGTGAGTAAGCGTACAATAGAGTAACAATAGGCTGCTAAATATTATCAGGAGAAAACTAACAGTGGCCTAGGAAACGCTGCTAATTTAATTTTATCGATTTTAAGTGAAAGTGACTTTAAACCAAGGGAGACTAATATGAACAGTAAGCCTAATTGCAGATGCCTCAGTACATTATGCAGATAATAACAGCTCTCCTGTGGATAATACAAAACTTAGTGAGAGAACAGAAAATTATGCTTTCTCTTGCCACAATGGAAATGAACCAATATTGCATCTTATCTCCCAGTCCACTGGCAGCATTGGAAATGTGCTCTACTTCTACATCTTACTAATTCCACTAACATTATCATGCATGAACTTATTTCCTTCCATTAATTTATTTTGATAAAATGAAAAGGCACTGGTCCATCTAAAAAGAATATGTACAAATATTGGAAAACCATCAGAAAATTCTTGTCATGAATGCAATTATAATTTCATGTGTCTTACCCATCAGGATTCCTTACTGCCTCTAAACAAAACAGGTGGAAATTCAGTTTAAATTAATCTATATTTAATAAAGGTGTTTTATAGGATGCAAATTGAATGAATCTTTTGGTAGTAGCATAACTAAGGCAGCAGGGTGACCAGGGCATCAGCCCCAGTGCCACCTTAAGGGAGGTGTAGAAATAGCAGTTCCCACTGCTCTCCTGACTACTGGGCCACCACTGGCAGCCTAGCTGCAGCCATTTATGCACATACCACCATGATCCAGGGCACAGAGTCTATAGATCTCTCTTCAGAACGCCTAACCACAGGTGTCCGAAAACTGTTTCACTGCTCAGTCAGAAGTTGATGCCTTCTTTGTGCAGCCTGCTTTGCCATTTGTCATGCTAATCTCATTCAGCTTTCCTGGAGCCTCCTGGGTATCACCTGCAATCCCACCCTTGCTGACATGTCAACAAAGCTATTCAAGTCTCTGTTGGTGTTGTCTTTTTCTGCATGTAGGCAACTCTGGAACTTAGCCCTTCATCCCCCATGCACTTGCTGAAGAGGTAAACTGAGCTGTGAAACATTATACCAACATGAACACAGTAACTGTCAGCAAATTTCCTAGGTCATTTATCTTGAAGAGTGTATAAATGTTATGGAATCCTCCTGAGAGGCTAAAGAAAATACCTGACAATTAAAAAATGTACATTCCAACAGCAGAGTCCTTATGATGAGGGGCTGACAAACCACGGCAAAAGTGGCCATGTCTCAACTGCCTATGTACCGGAGTCAGACATTCTAGGGAATTAATGAAGAAGTGGGGCTATACCATTTGTTCAGCCACCCGTGACTGTGGCTCAGTCTCAGACTATGCAGCACCTGCTGCAATGCCAGCTGCTCAAAGTCACATGTATAATGAAAGATCTTGCCAAGTACAATGAATGAGGAAAAGCATGTGTAACAAAATGATCAAGTGTGGTGTACAGACATGAGAAGAAGTAACCATCCCAGTAAGGGTTTATTTGGAGAAGAGGCTTCTAAAACACACTTCTGAGGGTATCTGATAGAGGTACAAGGGCTATTTTTTATTCAATAATTTGTCACAACTCTGTGCCCTGGACCTTCGATGATAATTGACCTAAATTACTCACATTAAGCAACCTTGTTTCAGACTGCATGAATCCCATTGCAGAATTTGGTAGAGATAACAGCTGCCTTAAAAAGTAATTAATTTTTTTAATTTAGTTTGGAATGAACCATGGGGCGAGCACCCCATAATTCCATGGCATACAATAAAATGAACTCTACTATAGATCTATACACTTTAAAGCTGCCAG